AACACAAGAGGCACTACTAGTGGTGATTGTGTTGTTCCTAGGTACAGGACGGCACTTGGTCAGTCCTCGTTCTCTTTTAGAGGGGCTAGTCTGTGGAACGGTTTACCAGCTTATTTAAAATTGGAAACCAACAACAACAAATTTAAAAGGAAATTAAAATTATTGTATGTTTCCAATCAAAGCTGCATCCACTGAAAATGTACTGTATATATTTTATCTGTATGTAATTTATGTGTCTTGTATTCTCTGTTTTTATATTTTTATATGGACAGGTGTTGAAAACTAGCACTTGTGCTAAAACACTTAACGCAATGCATCTAGCCTGTCTACTGCGATTGTGATGTCCTTAATAAACATTTAAAAAAAACAAACATTTGTGTCTCTGTGTGGAGGTCAGGGTCAGGGGTCAGGCAAGGCAAGGCAAGGCAAGTTTATTTGTATAGCACAATTCGTACACAAAGTAATTCAAAGTGCTTTACAGAATAAGAAATACATTAAAATCATAATAAAAACAAATCAAAACATGAAGATTAAAATTAAAAAAGAGAGAAGAGTGCGGAATGAAAACCTTTCAGTTATATGCACAGTTAAACAGAAATGTTTTGAGTCTGGATTTAAACAGCGTCACAGAAGAGGCCTGTCTCACATGTTCAGACTGTTCCAGGTTTTAGCTGCATGAACCTGAAACGCTGACTCCCCTTGTTTAGTTCTGACTCTGGGCACCAGCAGGAGGCCGGTCCCTGAGGTCCTCAGAGTGCGAGATGGTTCATATGACACTAACATGTCACAGATGTACTTTGGTGCTCGGCCATGGAGAGACTTGTACACAAGCAGAGCTGCTTTAAAGTCTATTCTCTGAGGCACAGGAAGCCAGTGCAGAGACCTGAGCACAGGACTTATGTGCTCGTACTTCCTAGTTCGAGTAAGGACCCGAGCTGCAGCATTCTGGATGTTCTGCAGCTGTCTCACAGCTCGTTTGGAGAGACCAGTGAGCAGACCATTACAGTAGTCTAACCTACTGGAGACAAATGCATGGATAAGTTTCTCCAAGTCTGATTTAGACAGTAAACCTTTGATTTTTGCTATGTTTTTTAGATGGTAAAAGGCTGCAGATGTTATTGATTTTATGTGACTGTTAAAGTTCAAGTCTGAGTCCATTATTACCCCTAGATTTCTTGCCTGATTTGAAGGTTTTAGAGAGAGAGACTGGAGGTGACTGCTGACACTGTCCCTTTGTTTCTGTGGACCAAACACTATGACTTCAGTCTTGTCAGAGTTTAGCTGGAGAAAGTTGTTTTGCATCCACACACTGATCTGTTGGATGCAGTGACCAAGTGACTCCACTGGTCCATAGTCTCCTGCTGCCAGAGAGACGTAGATCTGAGTGTCATCTGCATAATTGTGGTACGACACGTTATTGCTGCTTATTAACTGGCCTAATGGCAGCATGTAGAGATTGAACAACAGGGGGCCTAGGATTGACCCCTGAGGCACCCCACAGGTCAGGGCCATGTCATCTGAGACACAGTTTCCAATTTCAACAAAATACTTCCTGTCTTCTAGATAGGACTTGAACCAGTTTAGTACAGTACCAGAGATGCCCACCCAGTCCTCTAGTCTCTGTAAGAGGATCCCATGATCGACAGTGTCAAAAGCAGCACTCAGATCTAACAGGATCAAGACTGAGACTTTGCCTGCATCAGTGTTCAGGCGGATGTCATTTGTCACCTTGATAAGAGCAGTCTCAGTGCTGTGGTGGGCTCTAAAACCTGACTGGAAAACATCAAAGGAGTTGTTCATTTGGAGAAAGTTCGTAAGCTGTTGGTAAACAGCTTTTTCAAGGACTTTGCCAAAAAATGGCAGATTTGAGATGGGTCGGAAATTGTTCAGTACTGTGGCATCAAGACTGCTCTTCTTTAGGAGAGGCTTAATGACCGCAGTTTTCAACGCATTTGGGAATGTTCCAGATTGAAGTGACATGTTCACTATGTGAGTGAGTGGTGAAAGTAAACTGTTGAGGATGGACTTTAGAAATCTAGTGGGTAACATGTCCAGGCAGCAAGTAGATGAACTCAGACTGGTAACGATCTCTAAAACAGTTTTGTCAGTTACAGGTGCAAAGTGATTCAGCTCTAAGTGTCTCTGTGGCTGCATGCTTGTTATTTGTGTTGTGGAATTGATGGCATTTTTGATGCCCTGAACTTTGTCATTAAAGAAAACTGCAAACTCATTACATTTAGATGTGGAAATTAGTTCTTGTGGCAGTGGAGCTGGAGGGTTTGTTAATCTGTTCACTGTTGCAAACAGGACACGAGAGTTGTTACTGCAATTACCAATAATGTCCGAAAAATACTTCTCTCTTGTTTTACTCAAAGTGTAGTTGTACATATGCATTGTTCCTCTGTAAATCTCATAATGAACCTGGAGGTTTGACTTGCGCCATTTCCGCTCAGCCTTCCGGCACTCCCTTTTCTGTGTGTCCTGACTGAGTCATCATTCCTCCACGGAGCTTTTTGCCTATCTTTAACCACTTTAACCTTTATCGGAGCGATGGCATCCAGAACATTCAAAACACTCAAAGTCACAGAGTTCAACACATCATCAACATTAGAACATGAGGCAATTTCAAAATGTATCATTTCCATGAACAGTGCACCTGTGTTATCATTTATGTGTCTTCTTCGAACAACTGTAGGAGCAGCCGGTGGTTTGGGAATAACAGACAGGTCAAAGAAGACACAGAAATGATCAGACAGAGCAACATCAACCACATTGACATTTGAAATATTTACACCCTTTGAAATGAGCAGGTCCAGAGTGTGCCCTCTGTTGTGGGTGGGCTCACTGACATGCTGAGTCAGACCAAAAGTTTCAAGGACAACACTAAGCTCTTTGGCATTTTTGTCACACACATTATCCACATGTACATTAAAATCACCTGTAATGACTAAACCATCAAAGTCTGTGCAAACAACTGAAAGCATCTCAGTAAAATCATCAATAAAACTTTGACAGTGCTGAGGAGGTTTGTATATGACTATGTAGAGTATGGACGGTGATTGTTTTAGCTCCATTTTGAAGGAAACATACTCAAATGATGAAAACACCCCAAATGACAACCTGTGTGTAACCAAATGATCTCTAAAAAAATGCACACACTCCTCCACCCTTTTTATTTGCTCGTGTTTCAGATTCAAATTTGAAGTTGGGAGGGGTTGATTCCACTAGCACTGCACGACCTGTGTTTTTGTCAAGCCATGTTTCAGTTAAAAACATAAAATCAAGATTAAAAGAAGAAATAAAATCATGAATTAGAAATGATTTGTTACATAAAGATCTGACATTGAGCACAGCAAGTTTCTGATTAGTTTCAGTAGGACTGGATGTTATCTTCTTACAGGGAACGTGAACTAAATTTCTCTGATTAGACAGTCTAACTGTCCTTCTTTTAATCTGTCTATGTGTTGTAACTGGAGCTATAGCTCCATCGCAGGGCCCCAGCCTGATATTACCTTTATCATGACTGTATGTCCTGGGACAGCAGAGGCCCTGTGCGTCCTAGCTCTTGGTGATAACAGCTCTGGGGAAAGGCGGGGGAGGGCGAGCAGGGGAGAGTTTGGGTAAGTGACCAGGTGAGGGACCAGGTGAGGGCCGAGGAGGTGGCCGAGGAGGTGGAATACGGGGGCCTGGTAAGGACCGAGGAGGTGGAGTAGGGGGAGGTTTGGGTGAGGGGAGAGCTGACACAGTTTTGTATGGGGACATAACCCTTGACCGTGCTATGTTAGGTGTGAGAGGAACCATCTTGATTCCCGATCTGATGAGGCTTTCTAGATGGTTGGGCAGTGCCATGGGTGAAGGTGGGGAGGAGAAGGAGAGTGAAGAGTCCGTTGATGGAGTAGATGTAGCAAGGGGGACTCCAGGCTGGTCTGTGGGCAGCGGAGGTGATGGGTGTGCTGGTGGCGCTGGGGGAGGTGGTGGTGGTGTTGCTGACTCATTCTCTGGGGGAGGTGGTGCTGCTGACTTGTTCTCTGGGGGAGGGGAAGGTGGTGATGCTGACTTGTTCTCTGGGGGAGGGGGAGGTGGTTCTGCTGACTTGTTCTCTGGGGGAGGGGGAGGTGGTTCTGCAGGGGTTAGGATTGCCTGCTTTGCTACTGCTGCACAAACTTAACTAAATTTTAATTATTTCATCTCATTGTAATCCATCTTTCTAGGCTTCCTTCTGTACATCTAGCAAAGGACTGCAGATGGAAAATAGTCTCTTGGAAAACTCTAGCATATTATGCAGCTATACTGTTGGTTCATATACACTGTCGCTGTTAAAAATCAATCAATCAGTCAAATAAATGTGGATGTTTACTGTTTTAGAGGTGAGCTGTGCTCAGTGCCCGAGGCTGCACACAGCACTGCCCTGCCTGTGGTGCTCCCTCTTGAGGCACATGAGGCAGTGTTATACAATAGAGTGCAGACAGACACATGCACATCCAGACACTGTTAACCCTGGAGCCAGGTCCAAAAAACAAAACAGTAAAAAGAATCTGCAACCCAAGGATCGAACCTGGAACCTTCTTGATGTGAAGCATGAGTGCTAGCAACTGTACCGTCCTCTACTTTTTGTTGTATTTCTACTAAAACTGACTTTGTTCTTTCTGCTCTGTGCCTCTCTTTTAGTAAATCTTAACTATGAAATATATTTTTCATCTTTAGTATTCTTGAACCAACTGCCAGCTAGTAGGCCTACTGCTTCTGAAATGGGCACAAACTAGAGGTGAGATCGGGCCTAAAAAATCCAGCCCGACCCGACCCGGCCCGCGGGTATTAAAACCCGACCCGGCCCGAGCCCGACCAATTAACTTGATTTGCGACCCGACCCGACCCGAATTTCGGGTCGGGTCTAAAATGTCAATCATTACTTCGGGTCGTAAGATCTTACCTCTAGCACAAACGCAGTACCAGGTTGGTAGATGCGGACTGTAACCTTCTCTCCCTTTGTGCCCGTACAGCCCATGAAGACTCTGTATGCGGAGGACGGCTCTCCTCTCCCCTGCCTGGGCCCGTACATGTCAGATGGCCGTAGACGCGTGGACTACGTCCTGGCGTACCACATTCCCAAACCTGCCAGCGCCCGCCGCCACTCCACCAAGTTTGGGGAGGGCAACTTCATCCGCAGACTCCGCCGCAGTCTGAGCATGAGGAGCAGCCGCGCACCGCTCCAGCCTAAAGAGGACCCGGAGCTGGCCGCGCAGGAGCACCCACATGACTACCACGAGGACGACAAGAGGTTCAAGAGGGACGAGTTTGAGCAGAACCTGCGGGACACAGGCTTGGAGCTGGAGAAGGAGGAGCTGGTCAGTAACTCTCTCTTATTGGATTATAGTAGCCTGTAAAACTATAACATAAAATCATGTCTTTAAAGCTGAATCACAGTTTTGATCCTAAGTCATAGACACCTATAGTTGGTTCATGTTTTTAAGAGCTAACAAAAGATATCTGCTTCTATGAAGCTCAGTGTTCCCACCCATTGTTCAGGCTCTGGAAGTAATATATATATATATATATATATATATATATATATATGGAATGGAAACGTCATGTTAAAGTTGGCGGTGTCAGTCACACAGTGGAAGCAGCAGTGCATTGGTAAAAACGCATTTGTATCTTGGAAATTCTTCTCCCGATGTGAGATATATATATAAAAAAAACAAATATAAAATCGCCTACAACTTAAATGTGAAACCGGAGCTACTGGCACTGGTGAAAACAACCTGCATAGACTCATAATATCTGCACTACTGTCCTATAGTGACCTGCCACATGAGGGGACACACACACACAAACACACACAAACACAAACACACACAAACACACACAAACACCTTCATCATCGTCATCAACCTGAGAACCCGCGGACCACTTCTCCTTCCATAGTTACAGCGCGGACACCGCCGTCTCGTGAGCCACGTGTGGACCGTGTTTTCTCGCGTAAACCGCACTTCCTCCTGTGCGCCTCTAAACCAGAACTAACACCAGGACTAACACCAGGACTAAACCAGGACTAAAGCAGGACTGAACCAGGTTTAAACTAGGACTAAACCACGACTAAACCAGAACTAAAGACCTGGTCTAGACCTGGTCTAAAAATCAGGACTAAACCAGGACTAAACCAGGTCTAAACAACATGACACCTAACAGTAGGTTGACATAATTTAAGGTGATCTCATATAATTTCTCTGTCAATAATATTTTTTAATCTGGTGAAGGAAAGGCTGATCTTGTTACTGTCTTTTAACAGACAAAACCTCTTATATTAAGATATCGTGGTCTTTGTTTCTCAACAGCAAACAGTTGCTTATTCATGGTGACTTGGGCACAGACAAATTGAAGACAACAAACACGAATTTTGAGGATGTGGTTGCTACATTCATGTCGTTTAAAAAAACATGACAATATCAAGTAATCCAAAGTAATCAGATTACGTTACTCACTTTAAGTAATTTAATGGATTACGTTACAAATTACATTTTGGGGTGTGTAATCTGTAATCTGTAGGAGATTACATTCTAAAAGTAACCTTCCCAACACTGTATATATATATATATATATATATATATATATATATATATATATATATATATATATATATTATATATTTATTTTTTTTTTTTTTTTTCTCCCCCCCACTTAAAACATTTTAAAAGAAATCTGGAAATTGAGCAAGCAATTTGAATGCTTGATAAAGGATAGTGTACTAATGAGGTAATGAGAATAAAACAATACAACATATATCTGAAACTTTTTACACCAAAAAGATTTGAGTACGATCTGAGTAAGGTTAGAAAATATTTACTTAAACTAAAAACAATCACTTCATGAATAATTAACTAACTGGTCATCTGTCATGCCTTCAACTCTTCAAAGCTATTTTGAAAAGCCTGCTGAGAAAAATAAATAAATAAATAAATAAATGAAATTCAATTTATTTGTGGAAATGTAACAGCAGGCTTCAGGGAATTGAGCTACAGTCCTGTGATTGGTTATGTGAAGCTGTCACTCAGTCAGAGCACAATAGAGCCTGACCAGTACACCCTTCCATATTTGTACAGCGCTTCCTTCGAAAGAAACAATATCACTCTAAATACATTGTAAAAACAATATGATAAATAGCATGGTGATAGTATGGAATTTATTTATTACCTACTTGCTCCTTATTTAGTAATAGAATGTAATTACAGATAATAACACAAAAAAAAAATATATATATATATATATATATATATATATATATATATATACATATATATATAATTTATTTTTTTTATTTTTTTTACCTTAGCATGAGGTCTTAATATAATTCATAATAATAAAGCCCAAACTACCACAAAAATGAATCCGGTCAAGTCTGTGCTGTAACTGAGGATGATAATGATAATGTGTGTTTGTTCAAACGTTCACACGTTTATCCTCAGATTTATGGAATAGTTTTTACTAATAAGCCAATAGAGTTAGTTCCCATTACAAAAGCATTTCATAACAATGTGATAACATCGTTATAGCAGAATGAGAATGACATTTGAGAATAACAGTGGTTACCAGATCCTACAACTAAATAAATCCAAAAGGCCCCAAAAGGTGTGATTTTAACTTTATCTGCCTCTGCCATGTGGTAATAATGGCTTTTCATTATTTTGTACTTTTTGAGTGCCTCAGCTCATCTTTGTATTTAAGACTGCTCCCTATACTGAAGAGCACCAAAAGGACACTTTTTCACAATCTTTACACGTCCAAGTAGTACTCCTGTTCCCTAAAGTTTTGCTGGGACAGATCAGGACAGATAATGGCCTCCCAGGTTCAAATTGCAATGCCATTTTCACAGCTATTCCCTTCTATTGTGGCTGGTGTACGCAGCTGTTTGTAGTGAGAGTGAAGCAGAGCAGAAAGGGGACTGGACTGGTCAGCAGGCTTTATCTGACCAGAGGAGCAATACAGTGAATACATGAGTGAATAGAATGTCAGCCACATTTTTAACAGAGATAACTGGGTCTGGGTTTGCTTCAGATCTTGGTGCTGACTTGAGCAGCTCTTTCCACCACACACAGTGTGTGAGTCTGTGATGGATGTCCACTCAAGTATTGAATTACATTTACAAAGTTCTCTACAGACAATTAGGTTTCTTCCAACACCACTTAGAGTGAGGAGCCTGTTCAAATCCAATCAAGTCATTTCCAACTCCTGAGTTTCGACAGGAGCAAACTTATCAATGATTGTGGCCAGTGGGTCTTGTACTTTCTTCTACAGCTTTCTACAGCTTACTTATACTCATGTTTTTGTTTTTCAATAATAGAACACTGAGGTATTATCTGTCGGTGTAATTATAGGTATGTTCAAATCATCGAGTATTGCCCTGTGTATCATGCTGCAGAACAGTAGATGCAAATGGCAGTCAGTGAGCAGCCTGTGGGCTCTGGCCTTTGGCTCACACACCTCAGTGTCTCAGAGGGTGAGAAGTGACTCAGACTTTACACAAGACTCAGTGTGTACAGACTAGAGCATCCCACAATCACATCCAAGCACCCGACATGCACAACACAGCACCTGATCTCCAGCACTAAACTCCCCAATACAGAGCCAGATGTAATTAATAACGATCATTCTACAGGTTTTATTTTAAAACCTGGGCTCGATACACAATATTATGACATCATGATATGGAGATAAAACACATTACACTACATTTAAGAACAAAATACATTTTAATAACAGTATTTATTTGTTAAACTACTAAGTCAATATGAAACAGCCTCTTTTAGCAAAATAGTGAATATCCATCCATTTCCATTTTCTTCTGCTTACCGGGTGCCAAGTCGCGGGGGCAGCAGTCTAAGAAGGGACTCCCAGACTTCCTTCATCCCGGACACTTCCTCCAGGTCCTCCAGGGGGAGGTTCCCAGGCCAAGAGAGAGACATAGTCCCTCCAGTGTGTCCTGGGTCTTCCCCGGGGCCTCCTCCCATTGGGACATGCCCGGAACACCTCCCGAGGGAGAGGCCCAGGCAGTATCCGGAGCAGATGCCCGAGCCACCTCAGCTGCTCCTCTTGAAATGGAGGAGCAGCGGCTACTACTCTGAGCTCCTCCCATGTGAATGAGCTCCTCACCCTATCTCTAAAGGAACACCCAGTCACCCTGCGGTGGAAACTCATTTCGGCTGCTTGTATCCACGGATCTTATCCTTTCACTCATTACCCAGAGCTCATGACCATAGGTGAGGAGGGGAACATAGATTGTCGGTAAATCAAGAGCTTTGCCTTTCGGCTCAGCTCTCTCTTCACCACAACAGTCCGATCCGCCTGTCAATCTCACGCTCCATCCTCCCCTCACTCATGAATAAGACCCCAAGATACTTAAACTCCTCCACTTGAGGCAGGGACACTCCACCCACCTGGAGAGGACAAGATACGCTTGAATACCTTCTCCAGATCCACAAAGCACATGTGGACTGGTTGGGCAAACCCAGATTCAGGAGAAGTGTGGTTTTTGTCACTGGACCAGGTCTTTACTCTCCAAAATAGTGAATATATCAAATGTCTTACATATACAAATTTCCTTTCTCTGAACTAGAAACAAAACTGTAGCACTGACACAAAATAAATAAGTAAAAATCAGTCATATATACAGATATATTTGCAGAACCCTAATTAAAACATATGTACAATCTGTTTGATTTCAGAGCAACATCCCTGACACGGGCTTCCTGAAGATCCACGCTCCCTGGCATGTTCTTTGTCGAGAGGCAGAGTTCATGAAGCTCAAGATGCCCACCAAAAAGGTACCATTATCCTCTTAATTAGAGCCCGACCGATATATCGGTTGGCCAATATTATCGGCCGATAATATCGGATATGGTGATTGGATATGGGGACCTGGAAACATATCGGCTATTGGCCAATATGTTTGCTGATAGAGGCCGATATTCCACGTGGACATGTGATACGTCGTTATAAATCTTAGACTCTCTACATTCTGTTCATTTAATCCAATTTACAGACAGATAAATGTCCTAATATGTGGCTCCACATCAGTAGCCTATTTATCTGCGGAGTCATTTGTTTCTTGTGTGTGTCCGTACTGTCCCTGAACACATCCCCAGAGTCATGTCACTCACATGTGTTTGTTTACACTCGCACACATACATCCAGACACTGAGATTATTTTCTTTTTACGGACAATCGGTTTGAGTCTGGATTAAAAGGGCATTTATTAGTGCCGACTTGTGATGTGAGGAGGAGCCTGTGTGAGCGCTGAGTGTTGGAAATATGTTAACTTTGAAGCTAGTTTTGGTTATTTGTTAGCGATTAGCTGCTGTAGCTCCTGCACATAAACAGGCTGTTTTCTATTGGTCTATTGTAAAGTGACTATATTGGCCGTATATTTGTTACTGGACCTACATTGATATGTAAATGAGCTGTGAATAGAGGTTCGAATTATGACATTTGTGCATATAATTAATTACCGCAGCGCTCAGCATTTACGGCTAAAGGCTAATAGCGCTAGTTTCTTTACTAGCTAGTAGTAATGGGTCGGTCGCGAACGAAGTAGCTCTTAGATCCGGCTCTTTGAAGGGAACAACGGGAGCCTGCTCCTTATTGGGAGCCATGTTTTCTCTTTCTCTCACTTTTTTTCTCTTCACGTCGCGTGCAGACTCGTGGGAGTTTGACAGCGGCAGCGGCTGAAAATGAAACAGAAATCTGCATGTGCATAGGAGAGAATAAACGTGCATGTTTGGCTGTAGTTCAGCATAAAATAAATAAACCAGGACTAATCTTGGGCTCCAGAGTCCTGACATTCAGTCCTGGTTCAGTTCTGGTTTAGTCCTGTTTTACACATGGTTTAGATTTGTTTTAGTCCTGGTTTAGTCCTTTTTCAGTCCTGGTTTACACGTGCTTTAGACCTGCTTGCAACAAAACAACCTGAAAAGCCGATTGGGAGCCGAAAGAGCTAGCTGCTTTTAGTGAGTTGAGCCAAAAGAGCCGTTTCTCTAAAAAGAACTGGAATACCCATCACTAGCTGCTAGAATGTGATACAAAAATGCCATTAGTCTGACCTACTGTCTGTAAATATGACGTAAAGAGTCAGAATAACAATAAATGTTGCCTAAATAAACCCAATTTAAAATCCACCAGAGTCAAACCTAAGTTTTTTAAATAATTCAAGATTTACAGTGAATTTTTACATCACTAAATATATCGGTGATTATATCGGCTATCGGCAGCTCCAACTCCCATTATATCAGTTTCATGTCAGGCTCTACTCTTAATATACACACCAGTTTTAAACATGACAGTACATGCTTCACAAGTATAGTCACATTGATTCTAACTGATACTTTGCAGCTGAAGTCATTGACATTCCCTGTGGGTGTAATGCTAACTGTAGGCACTGATGTGTCTGTCTTTGTTACTCAAGTTACACTTAAAGATTGTATAGAGGATTTTCCAAGGAACGAGAAATCCAGCGACTGTTTGTCCTTCAAATGTTGCGCATGCGTGAAACTACCCCCCCTCCCCTACAGCTCCCTACGTAGAAACGCCTCCTCCCACCTCCTCCTTACAGCAGAAACAGGTTTGTTTACAGCCGGTGAGCTGCACATGACTTGTAAACAACTAACTACAGTGTTGGTTAGGCAAGACGGAGAAGTGAGGAGGGGGGGGGAGCGGGTGTGCAGACATTTCGTTCGCGGATGAGAAGTGAGGAGCAGGGAGAAGAGCGGAGCAGGGAGAGGAGAGAGGAGAGGAGAGAGGAGAGGGGAGCGGTGCGCGGAGATTCCGTGCCCGGAGAAGTGAGGAGCAGGGGGAAGAGCGGAACGGGCAGCGGGGACAGGAGCAGGAAAGGGGTGCAGAGAAGAGTGCGCGGAGATTCAGTGCGAATGAACTAGCTACAACACGCAGCAGCAAGCGGACTCTTTCTTTGCATTGAAAATTACGTTTTCAGACATAGGATATCGCTTTCGTGTCCTGAAAAACGTTTGTCTAGCTCTTGGAAATAAAGTACGTTTTCATAATAAGCAGAAGTGACCTGTCCAGGAGTAATTTGGCGACCAGTGCGTCAGTCTTTAGACCCTGCGTCTGCTTCAGTCGCGCCATCGCTGGAATGAATCTTCAAGAATCACCTTAGTTTGGCTTCGCTGCTTTTCCCCTTGTCTTTTTTCTTTCAGCGACCTCAAAAACGGACTTTCTTTTGCGGCTAACTGCTCCTGGATTCTTGTCTGCCATTGCAACAAACTTTGTGCTAACTGCGAGGAAGATATAGGTCAAAAAAAGCCGCTAAGAACTGTTGCGTTGGTGGAGTAAACAGCGTCTGTGCGGCTTGCGTCTGTGGACTGCGTGACAGGCGTACGTAAACCACGTACCGGCGGCGCGCAGGCAAGTCAGTTACGCTAGAAACGTAGGGAGATTGATTGACAGCCTGTCAGCTAACAGATAATGAGGCAGTGTCGTTATCTATTGGCAAATGTTTAGCTGGCCCCACCACGTCCAGAGTTGATGAATTTTATTCTCTTTTTTTTGGTCATCATAATTACAAGGCTACTGCACCTCTATAATGCTATCATTGACAACTTGAAACAAAAAAAAAAACAAAAAAAAAATCCTCCATACAACCTTTAAGTCTGAGCTTTATTTTAACACAATCTCACCATGAAGAAGTGACTTGCTAACGCTATTTCTCCTTTGAGTTTGTGTTGTGCGTGAAAGGAGTTCCTCGAGGTTTTACACTTGGCCTCTTTCTTTTCATCCTCCATTTTTACAGTTATCTACTTTTTTGCATTATCAACATGTAAAAAAGAACTTTTTCAGTTTATGATTTATACTCATTGTATTATCATTTATTATATTGCCATCATTTTTCCTTTTAGTTTTATGAGGTCAAACAGGGCAGTAATGTGGTGGAGAAGATCCGGCTCTTCATTCATAAGGTCACAGCTCCTCTGCACCCAAAGGTGGACTCCAACCGCCCACAGAGCATCAAATGGCTGTGTCACCCGTTTTCCAGGGAGAAGCAGCACCTGTGAGTACAGCACCCAGCGTCACCCAGTCTGCACATCAATATGTGTGACACTGTACTGTGTAAATCATACACAATTTGAGCAAAATGTGTCTTGCCTCAGTTATATAAGCAGCTCTTGAGGCCAAAATAAGTCAGCTGTGTAACTGTGAACCACTGAAAACCATGTGCTTTTTACATGTTTAAGACTGTAAAGATTTGGTATAGCATTTATATACATGAGACACCGAAATGTTAATTGCTAAACTAATGCAAGAACCCAGTAAAGAATTCAGTATGTTTGCAGAGGTCTAGACTACAGGGTTAACTGCTTTTAGAATGAATAAGACAGTTTGCACTTTGCAGAAGAAATATGAATCTTCTTTTGAGTGCAATTTATCTGGCGACCCTTGTGACCAAAATGATGAGGCTCAAAGCAACAATTAAATTTTATAGAAAGTGAAGTGCAATTAGAGCTCGAAGAAACCCCTTCGCTCCCATGCTCACTTCCTATTTGGATGTAGCAGGCAGTGGGCTGGCTCTGTGATGTCCCTGCTATGTCCCTGCAGGCCACAGAAGGAGCAGTGTGGCTGTGTGGAGCCGTGCGGGAGGCTCTTGGACATATGAAGTCATAGGAAGTCATGATAAATACTATACTGACTTCTTGTTCAATATATCATGGATGGAACAATAACTTATATATTAATAGTATATTTAAGTATATATTAATATATACTTTTTTTATTTGAACTAGTTGGAATTTTTGGTTATTTTTTCTGCAAGATGACAACGTTGAATTATGAACTGAAAGTATACAATCTTATTACTTAAAGGTGCATTGTGTAACTTTTCGGGTGGAGTGTCTGCCCATAGCTTTTCTCCATGGAGATGTTATTTTCTTTGTCTAGAATGCGTCACAGTATGGTATTAAACCTTTCCGTCTTCATGGAGACTAAACCAGGCCAAGTTACAGGTCAGATCTGTGGAGAGGCGACCCCGCTCACAGTCAGAATGCATTTTTTTTTCTAGGTATTTTTGAGCTATAAAACCACCTGTAATTGAATAAATGAAAAGTAAAGTTGTTTAATGTCAGACTGTGGAACATTCTAGATAGAAATGACATATCCATGGGTCAGTCCATATGAAATCAGACATTTTCAAGGAATCTCCCCTATGAGCCATCTCAGATTTGGCAAAAAAAAAAAAATCTAAATTGACCAAATAACAGAATTTCACATTTTAGCTCAATCCTTTGAGTTGTTCCTGAGTTATGACCCGTTGAAATTTTGGGGCCATACTCACTTTTTCAAAAGCTTTAATTTATAAGCACGTTTGAGAGACCATAACTTCATCAAAAATACAGATAGGAAGCTGAACATTTGTATTATTGCAGATTCTTTGTCATAGATTCTAAATCTGTCAAATTGTCAAATATAGTGTATCTTTATTAAGGGGGGTGCTAAGGGTTACTAAGGGGGGTCCAAAATCTCACATTTGGTTTGACTCCACAGTATCCACATGAAAGCTCTGAATGGTGTGAGATTGTTGTCAGAAATGGTCATTCTCTCAAATACTGAGGTTCAACAGTTAGTTTGTAAATATGTGCTTAGAGTAAATAAATCGCGGACCTCAAAAAAAAAATTAAAAAAAATTAATAAATTGAGCGGCAACCAAATTTGAGATTTTGGGGGCCCTCTTAATAAAGATACCCACTATTTGACAATATTGACAATATATGACCAGGAATCTACAATAATACAAATTTTCAGCTTCCTATCTCTATTTTTATGACATTATGGTCTCTCTAACATGCTTATAAATTAAGGCTTCTGAAAAAGTTAGTGTGGAGCAGTGACCGAGGCTGGTGGATGTGTGGAGCAGTGAGCGAGGCTGGTGGATGTGTGGAGCAGTGGGTGAGGCTGGTGGATGTGTGGAGCATTGAGGCTGGTGGATGTGTGGAGCAGTGAGGC